TATTGTATTATTCCCGCGGAATCGAAATTTAATTATCGAGGACGTAGCTCGCGTTGTACCATTGCTCGAGCACTTTTGAACAGTAGTGGGAAGAGTAATTCGGTAGGCCTCCATTTCCCTGCCTTCCACGCTTCCATCTAATTACGAATCTTTTAGGGCTTGTATGTGACATTGAATTTGATAACCCACTTTTCACCCGGCACACCTGTTTTAAAGTGCTTCTAAAAAAAAAAAAGTTCATTTCTCCGCATAGGCTCTTTTTAAAATTCTCATTTTTAAAAGCGCACGAAAGCGTATCAAATATATTTTGGATTCTTTTAATCGGATATCTTATTCTACTTCTCTTTTAAAAGTTCTACCAATTTTTAAAACTTTCGTTTCGTTTGAATAGATCGATGAACTGGCAAAGTCTTGATTTTTTATTCACGATCCACGTAATGCCAATAATATTCATAGGTTATTCACAGATATTTCAATTATTAGACATTTTAAAGAAAAAAGAAACATATTTATAAAATCTTTTTATCCTTTTTTGAAGATAAGTTGTTCATAGTATATCAATTTTTAATCTTTATTTATCGATAAATTGTTATTATTAAGCATAGCATCACTTTAAAAAACTTTAACTTTACGCAAACCATCCTTTCGATTTTGCATACAAATTGCTTCCGGCAAGCAAAACTAGAAAACATTCCATTCATAAATCCTCCCTCTCTTTTGCGTTAGAAGTTCACGAACGAAAGGTTGATCATGAATCGAGAGAGGGAATCCCCAACTTTTCTTCCAACTTCATCGATCTCAACTTTTCCTCAACTTCATCGATCGATGATACAAGTCAACCGATATATTTGAATTACTTACCGAGTTACGAGTAAATTGATCATAAAAAATTCTTCGAGCTACTTAACCCTGATGTTCACGTATACGTCCAATATCCGTGAAAAAATATGCATCCTTCGTGTACGTGTGTGTATGTATATGCAGGGAGGAAAGGATGTACAGTTAAAACGCAGTGCAGTAGATCGAGGGAGCTTATGACGCGCAGCACGTTTTAGATGTGCAACCTTGTGCCAGCTGTACTCACATATACCAAACTTATGTACGTGTATGTACGTACGAAATGGGCGCAGCTGGCTTAACAAAAGGATGTATGGATAATATCGTTTGCGCTGCTTTGCACTCGAGCTCGACATTCGTCACAGCCAGCAGATACATTTTCGTGGGAATCACAACTTTTGCGATTTCTTTTATTCCCTTTCGCCCATTGTCGCTGATACTTCTCTATCGAACTTTCGTATCTCTATCTTCCTCGCTATTTATTTCCTCTCCCTTTATATTTTTCCATTTTTTTTTTTTTTATTTTCCTCCGTGGGCGTCGATCATCCCCCAACCAGTGATTTTACTTTGGGGGAAAAAGCGTTTGCCGAGCAACCATTCTGTATCAATGAAATGTTCGCTTTTCCCTTTTGCACGCTTGCAATAACGTTCAAGAAAAATATCTACTGTTCTCTCTTCAAACTCTCACGTGTTTCGTATTTAGATGTCTACGCATGGTTTGATCGAAATAATAAACGATGGTAAACTGGTAAACGTTTCGTTTGGTAGTAACGAATATTTTTTCAATTTATCGATGCTCTTTTATCTCTTTCGTATATTTTCTGGTTCTATTTGCCTTCGTTTTCCAGCATTAATCTTACCTAATAGCATCCTTCTTCCTGTCGTTTCATGAATACGCTACTTTTTTTTGGCGTAGAGGGATGAAATTCGTTGCGGCGCGATCAATGTTGTTACATCAGAAATTCGAAACTTCAACGAATCCCGATCATTTATGCCTCAACTTCCACGTAAAAGTCTAATCTATCTTTTCTTTTATCACATCTTTCCATTTCTATCTTCGTAAAGCTTTGTTCCATTCACGATGGTAAACTCGTCATAAATATTTAAATTCACGCTTCCACTTTAAACAGGATTTTTCGAAAATTATATTATATACGCAAAGTATCCTTCCAACACGCGTATCGAGCGTTAAAATGGCCGAGAAGCATCGATCGTGATTGATCGAAGAATTAGGAATAGGCGAGGGATGAAAAAAATTCGCATCGACGAATCTTTGCTGCGTAGGATCGGTATTTTTTCGTCGATATTTCGCAATTTCCGAACGAGGCACGGCCTTGCATTTCTCTCCTTTTGTGAATTGCTCGTGCACGTGAACCAGCTGCGCGAGACGTCATATGCCGTCCTCTCGGGGATGAGACGGATTTTCTTCCTTTTTAAAATCATTTAGGTCGTGGCACGACAGCGGCGTACTCATGCTGACGAGATATCGAGTTCAAACGACCCTTGAGCTCAAACGTTCGGTCGATCCATCTGACGAGTGTACACGGATGTAGACAGGCGAAAACAAAAAAAAAAAAAAAAAAAAAATGGTTTTCAAATCACGAATTGGTTTTACGCCACACCCGATCGAGTTTGAAATTTAATCGGATGCGCTGCAAATACGCACGACTCTTGCTTTTGTATGTGCATTGGCCATTGTTTTGCATTTTATATCTTTAATTCGTGTAAAACGTTATTACTCGTGATAACATTTGATTTGATAATACACGCCAACTGTCCAGACTGATATTTGTTAGTTCATCGTCGATCAGGAAATATCGAGATATTGTTCGCTATCGAAACATATCCAATCTATTTTATCTGTAATTTAATAAAGGATTAGGCAAATTTTGTTTCTAAAATTATGTATTCACTTGGCTTGGTACAAAAGTACGATGTTTCTTGAGTTGCAATTGTGTCGCTTTGAGTAATAGCCGTTGGCAAAGAAAGCGGGATAATATTAAATAGTAGGTCAGTTCTGTATTACGTCGAATACAAAAATTTGTTTTATTACGATTGTTATTGCAATTTTTTTTCATCATCATTGGAATTTTTATATTCCTTTTCCTTTTGTTCAACAATAAAATTTTTAACATTGAAGAAATTTTTAATCGTGTATATGTTTTTTATATCATTTGAAAAATTTCGCTTCTATATTAACGTAAACGGAAACGAGATCTGTAAATGTATTTACTTGGCGTTTGATTGCGTTACGAGATACGTTTTTTTTAAAACTTTCGACTTTTCGACGAGAGGAAATGTTGGAAACTAATATTAACTCTTTCACATACTCGAGCACGTTTTTTTGATGGATGAAAGTATGATAAAATATTCGAATCAATCTAATCGAAACGTTCATCACGAGTATTCGAAGAATTTAATTTGAAAATGAAGCATATTTTTTGCCGCTGGAATTAAAAAGAAAAAAAAAAAGGGAGAGACAAAAAAAAAAGAAAGCACGGTATAGTCTCAACTTCCACTTGTGCCAGCTTTAAATCCAGGAATTCACGCGTACGCTACTTTTTTCCCTAAATATCGATCCTATTCGGTCTGACTAGGCCATAAACTCCGCTATTCCGCAAGACGTGTGCTTACCTTTCGGCTCTCAGTTACCAAGTTCATTGATCGAGATAGAGAAGAGAATTTGAACGGTGCCAAGGTGGAAATGAAACTACGAAATGGAAGAAATCTTGAAAAGAAATTGATTAGAAACGCGTCCTACCGAATAAAGAAAAGATTCATCCATTTAATTTCATTCGATCAATCAATTTGTCCAAGAAATTTTTATTAGACGTTATAAAAAGTAAAGTATGTTAATCATCGATTATTATTTCCATCAAAATTTCTGAATATTTTTATTTATCACTTATTGCTTATCTTATCATTTAATTCTTTTTATAAAATTTCTTAAAATTTCTTCTATTAATCTTTAAAATATATTTTGAATAGATATATATATCTTTAAATATTATTTTTATTACGTTAATGATTTTTTAAAGAATTCTTTTATTCGAATTTATAAATAGAAAAAACACTCAAGAATAAAAAAAATCTTCCGTTTCAAAGAGTATCGTTATCTTGAAGTACCGAGTGAATACATACATTAACCTTATTAATGTTTACCTTGAACTTCACTTTTAGAAACTGTTACACAATGGCCTTTGTGCTTCTAGGAAACAGTTATATTCAATTCTTGCATGATAGAGAATAATTTTTTCGCAAGGTTTTTCCGTACATTCACACAAACTTTCGATTTTCTCGTCATAAACATGCATTTGTACATATTTACCTTAGAAAAAAAAAAAAAAAAAAAGAAAAGAAATATTTGAATTTTCACAGATTTTACCAAATATTTGAATAGATATGTACACAGAAATCATACGTTGAAAAAGTTTTTCGATAATTCACAATTAACGAATTCAATTAATTTCAATTGAAAAAAGAATTACAAAGAAAGAAGTAATCAACAAGGAACAAATTGCTCGTAGAATATTCATACGGTTTAAAAAAAAAGGAGAACAGAAATCACTCGATAGAAGTGGTAACCCGAACAGAGACGTTCCCAAAGTGTCGTCCTGTTGGCGAGAAAAAAAAAAGCGGCCTGGCAACCCTCATCTGGTGCTCTTACCGACCGACTCGCGCACGAAAAGAAGAATATTCGCCACGAGGTCACGTTGCATCCCCTTTTCCATCCGCTGTCGTTACAATGTATGCGCATTTACGTATGTGCGCGTGTCGTCGCGTTCGTAATCACCCCATTTCACGGTTAATCAGCCGAGAGGCCGGAAGACAGGGAAGGTCAGAAAAGGGAGAGGTGAAAAAGAGAGGCAAGATATCTGGGAAAGAAGAAGAGTAGAGGATAAGAGGCATAAAACGAAGAGAGGGACGAAGATGAGGAGAGATGGAGAAAAAATTGTTACAGAGAAAGACACAGTGAAAAGAGGCCATCGATACAAAAGGAGAAAGCGAGGGAGGACAACGTGAACGATAGATAGAATGACAGAGAAAGAGAAAGAGAGAGAAAAAGAGAGAAACGGAAAAGGATTCGTGCTTAGTTAGAATAATGTACGCATAACGTGTAGCATAGCCGAATATCACGGTTAAGTGCTCGATATATACCGCACCTGATCAATTAAGCTGGTAATCACGCCGAAATCACTGGTTAGGCTGCCGGCACTCATCCACCTCTTTCACCACGATTATCTCGTGTATCGTTCGATCGGCCCACGATTCTCCCTTTTGATCAACCGCGCCGCCAACATTTCTTCCACGTTTTGTTTCACACGGTGCGCTTTTTTTTCTTTTGCTGGTTTACACGACGGAACGATAAACAGGTGGAGCCTGTCCCGAGGGAACAGTCCGCCGAGAAGGGTGACCACCACGGTCGCAACGAGCCTTCGACCCTAGCGAGTCTCGCTCCTCGCACGACTGACTGAAGCCTAGAATCGAGGCTTGCAACCAACCCCCAAACCTCTCACCCCTTTCAACCGCTGGGGAGGCCACGCAAGTGGCGCCACGAGCTTGCAAAAGCTCACCTCACCCCTCTACCATCTCTACATCCCACCACCATCGAACGCTGCTCTTATCTACGGGGTGGCGCGCGCGGTTAAGTTCTTGCATCCTCGGGATCTTGATGCTGGCACGGTTTAGATTCGTCGCCTGGTTATCCCGCAGGTTTTAATTTCATTCGAGCGCGCCCCGACTCTCTCTGTAAATTCGCGGTATTTTCATTTCAAGAAATATTTTTCCTTTCTTTTCTCTCCCTTTTTTCTCCCTTCTTTTTTTTTTCTTATTCCATTTTCTGTTATCGCGCGTTTATTCGCTCGTTGATTAATTTTTTACAGAGATCGCTCGTCGATCCTTCGCTCTTTTTATTATCGGGAAGGAAGTTACGCGGGAAGGAAACATTGTAATTTGTCTTAATTCTCATCCATGTTGTCGATGATTATTAATTGTATTTGGTAATTCGATCGATAATTCTTATCCGATACAATATTCATCCTTCGCGTCTCGTTGATAAGATGTCAAATTGATTTCGAGGAGATGCTCTATAAATGTTGTTTAACGGACGCTTGACACGAGTATCGGCTGATGATTGTTCGAGAATTGTATCACAATTAACGGGTTCAAGTGATAGCTCGTATTCACGCTACTCGATGTCTATTGCACGTTACACGTTCTCAATTTCCTTCTCGTTTTGTAGGAGCGAATTCGTCTCGTGAAACAAAGATATCGAGTGTTTGCTCGAAATATAAACGATAAAGAGAATTTTCATCAAGTTTTATTATTCGACGATGGAACAAAGCTCAGTCGGTAATCAAATTGCGCGTACTTCATGCACGATTTTTCTTGAACCTTTACTTTTTCTTCACCGTTTTCATTCAACCACAATACTTTCGATGTATTCCTTTCTCTCGTCTCTTTCTTCCAGGAGCAACCACCTGTAACCCCCTGGAGACAGACGTACGTTTCAAAGTGCAACCCCTCTCTTTCCATCTTTCCCCGCCAACCCCTCTAAACTTAGCCTTGACGGCCTTTTTCTCTCTTCATCGCCAATCGCAACAGCCGATCCATCAAAAGACGAGTTATGCTCTCTTCCTTACTGTGTACACGTTTCTCTTTCTACTGATAATAGATCTATCGATATTTCTTTGATATATTTTAATAAATTACAACATCTTATGGTGATTTAAATTTAATATTGTATTTCATTATTTATTTTTAATTTCATAAACTATTTTCTTTTAGTTTTTCATTTTTTTTATTTATTTAATATCGCATGCAGCACTATAGTTTGATAGCATATAGTTTACATTGCATATAGTATCTATTATTTTTATTTATTATACTATAATATATGCATGCGCTAATATTATAGAAATTAAAAATTTTAAAAACAATGAAAAATTGAAAAATTGGATTCCTTTTACACATATTTTGAGGATTATTTCTTCTTTTTTGTAATTTCAAATGCAATGTTTCTTTTATGCGATACCACAGGATTTTTTGTTTCAACTTTTCTTGATTGACATGTCCATTATTCATTTTTATAAAATTAAAAAAATATATTGAAATGTTGATATTTGGTGAACAAAAACCACGATATTCTTCAATTTGATTTTCATTCGTTTTACGATACAGGGTTAAATCGAGAGAGAAATATCCGATAGAAGTCGCAAAAAATGCTTCATTCAACATGCATATTAAAATTGAAGAACTCTGATCCCGAATGTCGTATTAATTTTAACGAGTCATGTAGATTTAGTTCAAAGCGTTCAATAATAAAACCATACAACAGAAAGTAACTTCGTTTAAATATTGTGTTAATAAAGTAAATGTAACAAATGTTGATGTTTTTAATTAAAAAATGCAATAATAAAAATGCAGAAATAAAATGCAGAGAAATTTCTTCAAGGAGAAGTTGGATAAATAATATTCTATATAAATGAAAAATAAAAAAATTATCATTAAAATCAGAGAAGAATAATTTTTATTGATTTTTCTTTCTTTTTTTATCTAATTTAATATCTAAAAAGAAATGCTTTGATATATAAAAAGTTAAAAAGATGAAAAGTTTAACAAGTTTCAATATAATATAACACTTTAATTATATCAAGAGAAATAAATATTATGATAAAATATCGAAAAATATCTTTAAAACTAGAAAATGTTTTATCAAGATTTTTTCAAATGTTGCAAAATTTTTTATTCTTAACAATAGTCGATTTCAAGATATAAAATAAATAAAAATCTCTCGATAACTGATTTTTCTTTATGTATTGTTATGCCTTATATTTTTTACTTTTTCTTCTACATATACTTTCATGTTATTCTATTATTAAAACAAAATTTAAATTTATTTAATATTAAAACAAGAAAATATTGCATTTAATATCAATAAATAAGAACATAAGAACATAAGAACATAAGAACATTTAATACATTATAAATATATTTTTATAATTATCATATCAATGTTTCGTATTTTAAAAATGAAGAAAAAATTAAATAAAAATTAAATAAAATAGTATGAGAAAATATATTAATATACTTTCGTATAATTTTATATTGAAATAGTTTTATTACAATTTTCTACATATTTAGTTGTTCATAAAATAGAATTCTTGATTCGATAAAATAACTTATATGATACAACTTTTTTTTCGATTAACATATAATGAAATAAAAAATATAATTCAAAGTATTTTTTTGAATATATTTAAATATACAATTGAAAATTATAATATTTAAATATTTTATATTAATAAAATATCTGAAATCTACTTGCGTCGCTATCGATATCGGTGCGCGCGACTTTGCTCGCTGGGTGGGGGAACGCTACGATTCATAACAGTGTAGCGTTCCGTATCGTACAGACGTGTCGCGCTTGTTTTCTCCTATATAATTTAAATTGTGTATGTATTTTGTATAAGAAACTTATTTTATTTATTATTTATAATAAATACATATGTTTTTGAATATTTAAAGTATGTTTGTTCACGAATTAAAATATATTTAGTCGTAATTGTTTATAGCATTCGTTTTTTATTCGTAAGTGTTTAGAATGTGTGAGATATTGTTTATTTGTGAATATTTATAGTATGCGTTTTTATTTGAGAGTTTCGTATGTTTTATTATACGATATAAATAATTTCGCGGATCGTTAAAATAATTTTTGCGAGTTAATGAAAAAAAGGAAAGCAGTCAATTATTAAGTGTTATCTACAAATGATAAGTTGTATATTTTTTATATTGATAAATATAGTAATTAACAATAATTTATAAATATTCGTATACATTAATAGATCAGATAATAACGATTTGACAATTTAATATTGATTATAAATTTTTATTAATCTTTCGCATTAATAGTTAATACATAATTATAAAATCAAGTTATATAAACATAAAAAAAATTATAAATTTACTTTTAGTTGATAATTCATGTTATATTTATGTAAAAAATGAAAATATAATTATAGAATAACAAAAATCATCTCATAGATAAAACGAAAGAGCAAAAATTTGATTTACACGAAATAAAAAAATAAAGATATCATGTTTAATTAACGTTTTATTTTGATTTACTTCATGAACGTCAAAAATTAAAATATAACTAAATAATAATAATAAACGTGTCATTAATTAAAAAAAACTATGAAAAATCTTATTTTATTTGCAAATTAGCACAAAGCATATGTAATTTAGTAAGTAATATTTTATTTTGTGTCATTTTTTCAACTAAATTTTTAATAAGTTTTCTATAGATTTCCTTGTCATTCAGATTAATATAATTATTAAAATCATCATTTGTTTGTGTTGCATTTGATGTAGTTAAAATTGTTTCTGTCTGTGTACTGACAGATTTTTTTTGGCAAAAATTTTTTTGAAATTTTATTGATTGGTATATTGTTGTACTTTGATTGTACATTGAAATTTTTTTAGAATAGTTATTCCTTATTTTATCTTTTTTTCGTGATTTTATGTTATAACTATTATTATTGCCATTCCATGTATTACATGTATGATTTGCTTGTATTATTATTCCACATTTTGAACAACGTTCGCAGATATCGCAAAAATCATCTTCTTTCAATGATTTAATATATTTTTTAGAGTGACATGACATCTTTGATACTAAAATAAAAGAAAGAATTAAGTTAATCTTAAATTTAAAAAGTTTTTAATATTTAAAATAGTTATTCGTAAAATTTATTACTTTTTTCATATATTTATTTTTCAAAAAATTGATTTAAAAATAAAAGGATTATTATATATTTTATTTTTCATATTTTATCTAGTTAATAATAATTTAAATATATTATTCACAACAAATTGTATCAATCGTAAAACTTAAGATATAATATTATTTATTTTCCTTATTATCTTTTCGTTAATAGTTTTATTGTTATTAAAATTTTATTTTTTTTTCTAAACGATTTTTTTGTCAGGAATCAAAAATTTAATTGAATCAATTCATAATCAAAAATCAATAGATATATTAATGGTCATTGTAGATTTAATTTTTTATTCTTAAAAAATTTTTTAATAATATTAATATATAATATTAATAATATTAATATACTTATAATCATTGAAACCATGTGCTTCATTGAAGCCACGTGCTTACGTTTGGTTAGAATTGTATCGATTTCGTTTTATTAAAATTTTAATGTAAATTAATAATAGATATTAAGTGAAAATATTTGTAATGTATATATAAAATAAAAAATATTTAAATTTACCTTTAATATCCTATGATTTGAACTTTATTATAAAATAATAGCATCAAAATGCAATAACTACTTTGCATATATGATGCTTATTGTACTCATTATCCTTAAGAAGTGAAGTACAAACAATTTCATTCATTGCATTGAACACCATCTATTGAGAAATAGATAAATACATAAGATTCTTCTAATTCTCAGCAGATAACTCAGAATCCTTTTATTGTATGATTTTTGATTTACAAATTTTTTTTTTTTAATTTCAAAATTAATATTTAATAGATTTAATTTTCATGGATGAATAATTTATAACATTTTTCATTATTAAAATTTTGTTAATTAAATTAGTTAATATTATAAACACATATTTTTTTTAAAAATAGATAATTAAGAATGACAGTGAATGATGAAATAAAATAAAAAATCAAATAATAATATCTAGATGTTCTTTTTCTTCAAGCTATTCAGGATAAATAAAAAAGGTACAAAGGCTCGAAACAATTTGATTTCAAGTATACAAATCAACAATGATGTATAAATCAATAAAAAGATTATATACATAATTACATATATAACTGTATAAAAATTATATTATAGTTCATATTATATTATATATATTTAATTGTATTATTTTATCATACTTCAAAATTTCTTTTCTCAAGATTGAGATGATCTTAATAAAATCTCAATGTTAGTACGAAAGTTTCATATATATACCAATATTAATTATCAATAACAGATGTATCTATTTTCAATCTATTCATGAATTTTCAATCGTTTAAAGATTTATTTATATATATATATATAAATATTAAAATTTTATTCGAAATTCGAGGTTATTTCATTAGCATTTCCATGAAATTTTACTTATCTTGATTACAAAATTTCACTTGTTTGAAACGTTTCATTTAATTAGCATTTTTATGAAATTTGCATAGCGTTCTTCTAGATTCTCCTTTCATCATCACTGTCATTTTTATTGTATCTTTCTTATCTAGAATTATTATACTTGTCTGATGAAATAAATCTAAATATTTTATTTTATTTTTTCAGTCAAATAATTTCCAGTGGTATGCACGGGCTACAGAAAAAAACGAAAACAAATGAAAAAATAAAATTCTGCCGTGGAAATCTTTATGGACCAACAATAAAATTAAGGTGAGTATAAAAAGGAAAAGATAGCTATGTCTTGAACACATTTTCATTAAAAATCATTTGGATAATTTTTACAAAATTAATTATTTTTTTTTATCACAATTTCAATTTCAATTATTATTTTCATTATTCATTTTTGTATTCAATTAAAAATTTTTAAAATCTCAATCGATTATTATACAGATTCAATTCCTAAAAAGATTATTCATTAACCTCAAAACATTAAATATTAAAATTAACTATGTAAGTAATCTGGACTAGTATGAAAGAAGAAGAAATTTCATTGTTAAATTTTCGAAACAAGTTTTTATTCTTATTGAAAAAAGTTTTAAATATTTAATGATTATCTATCACGAAATTAGATAATATTATAGAAATTTCTATAATCATTCCAAAATTTCTTTATTTTTTCAAAGCTCAGAATAATAAAAAGTAGATCCGCGAATAAAAAATTCATTTATCATTATATATCATTTATCATATATCATGAAAAAAATATAGTTATAGAAAATTATAATTATAAAAAATATTATTATAATTATCATTATCATTATAAACATCATTATTATTATTTACTCTTAATATAGAATATCGAAAAAATCCGACAATTCTTCGATTTCAAACAATTATCTCACTTTAAAGCATAATTTATGCTACCATTATTCATCCTAAATTCGTCATCGTAGTCCAGATTATCTGCATTTGTTCTTTGTTTCACGTTGATTGACCCAGCGTGATAAGCAGTAAGGGATAAACTTTCGATGATAAAGGTTGAATGTCGAATAAACGTGGGGATCAACCAATGTCTGATCCCCCTTCTTTGACCTACAGGATCACCCAGAAAAAGACACCACCCTTTTTCTTCATTTCTATCTTTCTCTTTCAAGGCATTCTTCACGTTTTTCCGCACGCAAACCCCACTCGCTTTCCTTCGACCGACCTATCACGAGCCACCACCGTCGAAAGGTATTCAGTTCTCAGCGCGCCGTGACGCGAGCAACCACCGTATCGCATCGTTTCCCTTTTCGAGCATTCTGTCCTCTCTTTGATCGATACGATCGATGAAATTTATCGCGAAAACCGTGAAATCGATCTACGGATGATCGTTGTACCGATTTATTTAGAAACGAATAGAGAGGATTTTTATCGTCGATAAAAGATACAAGTTTGTGAAAGATCGATCGATCGTAGAAGACGTGATTACTATTTTGATCTTGTGTTTTTTTTTTTTTTCGCTTTCCGTTACGTTATGGACTCAAGAATAATTAGGATCGAGATGTGGAATCGTAGAATAGAGTGTTAGAATAGAATGGAGATTTGTTTTTCGATAAGATCGAGCATTTAATTTTGATAAAAGGTTTCCGATGCGCGTTCCTGTACGTTGACAAACGGATCCAATCTTGATTCGCGTTATTCTGCGAATTGATTCTCCATCGAATCACAACTGTAAGTACACTTTTATATTTTTATATTATTTAAGTTATTATTATTTTTATTTTATAATATACACGTGTTAACTAATTGTAAATTATTATTTAATTTTTCAAATTATAAGTTAATTAGAAAGAATTAGTTATTTTTACTCAAGATCAATTTCATGCTGATAATTTTATGATTTGACTTTTATAATTTCTTTTCATTTTGTTAAAGTTCAAATTTTGTTCCCCAATATTTCGAATTTCTCAGAAAATTTTTCAAATTCAAGGATCTTATCTTTCAAATTTCCTCTTGTATAATTGCACACGAAACGTGAATGATAAACGTGAATGATAAAAATTCGAAATTACTTTGCATATTTTGAAATTCCCACATTGATTGGTTATTTCGTTTAATTGTGCGCTTGTCAGAGGAAATATCATTGCGTAATATAAAAATCTGATCCTCGAAACTGACTATATTCCGATAACAAATCGTGGTTTCAGGAAAATTTTCACGCGAATCAATACTGCTTATCGAGTTCACTGTGTAAACGATCCTAATCGTGAGTCACGAAGGGAAAATTTCGATATACAGAAACGATTTTAATTGTTCGCCTTGTTCGTGTTTATTAACTTTACTTTCGTATCTTTCGTGCACGATTTCGACTATTATCATTTATCTACGTAGATAGCTTCTAAATATCTATTGCGTACTTTATTTTTATGTTTTTATGTTTTGTAATAGTACAGTGGATCGAATATTTCGAAATTTCAACATAATAATGAAATATAATTTAAACTTTAGATGCCTTTATAAAATTCTAAAAGACTTTTACGCATCATTGGAACGTAATAAGATTAATGACAAGTTTTTTGAAGTCGTTATTGAATTTTTCAAGTCGTTATCGAATTTCATATAATTCGATGCGAATAACATGTTCAATGCCTACATAATTTATATAGATAGCTTTATTTTTCAACGAAGTATTTTCTTATCATTTCTATATTTTATTTTATTAGTATAAAATTCTTATAATTATTTATTCATATAATGTATTTTGGCTTAATTAATCATATAAATGATATAATAAACATACAATGCGAATACTTAAGCATTGTAATGTTGAAATATCATATATGATTTTTTTAATAATTTTTTCTAATAATTTATAATATATTTGATTTTTATGTAATATTAAAAGAAGAAAAAGTTGTATTTTCTGTTTTATTATTTCGAATTCTTAGGAGATAGAGAAGTAAAGGGTAAATAAGTATAATGGAATTTCGGAACAAATATGTATACGTAGTAATTTGCATTTCGTATTTCGATTTTAATGCTTCTTCTTTATATGTATAGTAGAATGAATATAAAACATTTGAATTACTATTTTTTTTTTTTTTTTTTACATATTTTCATTCTATGAAAAAATTCAATGATTACAAGCTTTCATATTGCTATTATATGAACTTGTTACGTTTTTCGATTTATTTTCAATTCAATTGTGATATTTTATCGCTAATTTTTGAATTTTGAATAGGTAATATGTAGAAATCGTAATTAACATGTTAAAAATTATAAATTAATTTTTTTATATTTGTTAAGAAAAGATAGAAACTTCGGAAGAAACACGTTATTCTTTTATTACGAAAAATTGTAGCTTGAAAATTTTTAAAATTCTACGGATATTGTACACATAGATTTCTAACGAAACGTTAAACAAACCTGTTGCATGGAAAATTTAATCTGATTAGTTTAAAGAATGCTTTTATGTCATTTCTTTACAGTTCGATACCTTATTCCATTAACGTGTTAAAATCGTGTTAAAATCCTTTACACTGCTGCATGTATGCACAATTTTATTAACATAATAAATTAATATATAAAACTACTTTAAAATGAGATATTAATTCGCCATAAATTAAATTATATGATATAAATTTTGTTGAATTTATATAGGTTAAAATAATTTGAAGGAATGTATACAAAGAAAAAATAAAATTCCGAAAAATTAGAATAACTTTACGGTTCATATATTATGATTATTAAATTTTTCCACGTATTGTACAAGCTTTAATGTCAAATGTAAAATTATTTCTTTTTTTCTCTTTTTGAAATTATTTTGATTAGAAAAAATAATTTTTGTTTAATAGATTTTCTTTCTCATTATCATCGTTCCGAATATTGAATTAAAATGTGATCTTCTTTCAAGGATTTGTATTATTTTTTTTTTATTTTTTTTACGTATTTCTAAAAGTAGGAATCTCAAAGATTAAAGCTATTGCTACAAATGTTTATTTTTATTTTTTCTTTAATATTAGAAACAAAAGATCTTATTAATAAAAGAATAATTGTTTTTCAGCTCGTTTTAAAAATATTTTTTATATGCTTGTTATTTCACTTTTAAATGGTTGAATGGTTAGAAAAGGAACAGAAATTTCTCATTTTTTCTCGAGAATATTTCATTTTTCAAGTATATAAAGTGACAAAATTACAATCTCTTGCAATATGATTCGCAAATTATTTCCCTCTCGACAACTGTAACTTGTTACGTTTTTAATCTTTTGTCGCAGCCATTCTGACATAAGAACAAAATATTAGGGTATAAACGATTCGAAGGAATGTGATTAAACGTTTCGAGTGACGTGAAAGAGAATTATATTATATTGTATTGTCGCTATATTGCGAATGTTTAAGTAAATTCATATTTTTATTAATTAAATAAATAGAAGCAAAAAAAAAATAGAGGTTTATTTCAACTAAATAATATAACGTGTATATAATATTTTATTTTGAATATTTTATACATTATTATATATTATCAATTATGCAATTTCTTTACACGCCAATTCTGACAGTGTTTTCCAAGTTTTTTCGTCACCAATGAATGAACAATGTGCTTATTTAATTGACGTGTGTCACGTGCAGTTGATATTGACGAAAACTGGACAGTATAGGCGACATAAAAAAACAAAAAAATAAAGTTGTTTTGTCATCACGATGTAGCGAACAGAATTTCACAAAATAATCGAAATCATGAGGCATAGAAAAGAAATAATACAAAATTAATTTGATCTATTTGTTGACGCAATGATTTAATTAAAGACACGATTAATTAATGAAGAGAAAATATTTTTCTTCATTATTCATTTTTTACATTCTTTTTGTTTCAAAAATTGACGATCGTGTTGATAATTAAATGTAAAATAAAAAAATATGTATTGTTATTATTATGAATGTAATTAATATTGATATATATATATATTTGTAGGTCAATTTTTATTACTATGTTAATTTATATTTTTGCAGAAATAAATATTAAATATTCATGCAGCATTCCAACGTATTTCAATATATATTACATTTTATTTAGATATAGCTTCTTTGATTGAGATCTTCAGCTTCAACTTCTTTGAGTAGGTTCTGATTACAACCTGCATTCGTGATATTTGGTATTAGCATTGCTAGCTTGATGGAACAGATGCAGCGTATTTACGTATATATACTCGAATGAATATGTAGGCGTTTGCAAATTTTCGTGTAATTATAGAAGTTCTGATATCACGTTCGTATTGGTGTTTGCATTG